CTACGAGCTGGCCATGATTTCGGCCTTGCTGCTTCACTCAAATGTATGCTAACTTCTATATCATTCACCCGCCCAGGCATGTCATCAAAAACACTTATAAATTCTGTTGTCATGCCAGCAATTTGTTTATTGGTTGTCATAACCTCTTTATTTGTGATACGTATAGTCACTTGTCGTGGAATAAACATATTAAATGCCAGTATCCATGGTAGTCCAAATAATGGAATGTCATTTGAACTGGTCACCACAATCGGTAGTGATCTGCTTATCTTTCCAAGGCGAACCCTCACCATAGTTTCACCCAGCACATCTAGCGGTTGGTTACCATATACTGATAAAGGTTTGGTTGGTCCAAGTTTGGGTCGGCCAATTTCATCCCAATATTGTTTCCCAATCACCGATACCTGTGCCCCCGTATCATAGTCAAATTCTCTAGGTACTCCATTTATCCAAACCAATATCTGTGCACTATTTCTACCAATTTGGGAAATATTATTAATTGAATCTGATGAATCATTGTCATCTATATGCATAGCATGTAACTTCTGTCCCTTACAATATTTAGCATAATGCCCTACCTTTTGGCAATTATAACATTTGACCCTTGATGCAAAACATTGAAAAGGGGGATGAGTTCTTCCACATTTTGAGCATTTATTAAACTTATACATATCATTATTGTTAAATTTATTGTTATCTCTAAACTTAAAATTATTATTATTGTAATAACTAAAATTACCCTTTTCTTTGTTATTATTATTATATGAGTACTTTTGATTTGAAAAATTTTCTTGATTATTCTCTATCTGCTCCTTAGGTTTATTGACTTTTTTACCATCATATTTGTCACTTCATCCTCAGCCCTTTCCATTGCCAAAGCCATATTTAAAACCTGTTGAAAACTCACCATTTCTCCTAAGTCATTTATTCCATCTAGAAATCTAGTGCGAATATCTTTCTCCAATGCACTCATTTTGATTCCTGCCACCATCTGATCCCTCAATCTCTCATCTAGGTCAGATTCAAATTTACATTCTTGAGCCAATTTTAAGTCGAGCTGCAAACTCCGCAACTGATTCACCAACCCCTCTTTCTATCCGAATAAATTTAATTCTCGAGCTAAATAATGTTGAAATAGGCTTAAAAACTTTCTTCAACTTCAATAATCTCTTCATAATTAAGATCTTTCAATATTTTTGGATAAACAAAGGACCTCATCTCTGCTAAATTACTAATACCCATATACGCAAATAATATTATTTTTTTGGTTTCATTATTTATTAATATACCTCTTATCTCCAACATATCATCAATATATTCAATGTAATCAGCAAAGTTGTTTTGATTATCGAAATTATCGAATTTGATCATAATGTTATCATTTTTTTCTTCTTTATTCATAATTACTTTATTTTTGTTTTCTTTGTTCATAATAAATCACCGACAACGTCGCCAATATACTAATTAAGTTTATTTGACTGGCAATCACCTCATGAAATATATTAATATATGATTGATTTGTATCTATGACATTTATGGCATTGATAATATATATATGACATTTATAACGATAATATAAATATAAATCTCATTTATAACAATGAGTACAATGGAATTATTGAAATAATTTTTATATTTTATACCAAATAGTACCCATAATCAATGTATTTACAAAATTTTGCCTTTAATACCAGAAACTTTGTCTTTTGCTGTCTCAAAAATGACAACAATCTAATAATTTAGACCTTCTCCTTTTGCCATTTTATATATCATTCATATCAGCCTAAATAATATGTTTCAAATATATTATAGCCATTGTTATATTTATGTGTTTATTCCATTTTTTATAATTACGCGTTAATTTAATTAATCGAGTTTACGACGATTGTAATTTAATATTTAGACATTATTGAATATTTAGTTTTAGGAATATATTATATGATGAACTTTAATTTACTTTCAATTTTTTTTTGCATAATAAAAATTTATATAAATACACAAAAAATTTAGAATAATTTAGTAAATTTTTAGTGTAAATTGTTGGAATCTCGTGAATAAAATCTTTTTGGTGCAAATTGTTGAAATCTCTCGTGAATAAAGTCATATAATAAGCTCGGTATGCCTTAGAGCTTTTAGTTGGTCTCCCTTAAATCCTTCGATAAATATATTACAATTATACAGAATTGTAACAGCCATGATTTCATTAAGTGTTTGTGTAGCTTACTTAATTCGATAGTTAAATTTCGTCATAGTTAAGTCAGTATAAATAATACTATATATTTAACTTATTTTTTATAGCTAAGTTTTATGTTTTAATTTAATATTATTAACTCGCTTCAAACTTACTATGAACCCAATGACATAATGTCATTGGTATGGACCATATTGAACGCCATTTTAGCTTATTTGCCTTTGTGGTATTTTTTAATTTTCGAAAAAGTGGGCCCAAATTATTCTTCATTGGTTAATATTTTACAAAATTTTTAATTTTGTAATATGAATTCAAAACTCGTTAATAATAGTACCTTAAAAAAACATGTTATTCAACTTTATAAAAACTTGTATTATATGGGAAAAGATTATCCAAAAGGATCACAATTCTTTAGGAAAAAGTTAAAAGAGGCATTTATGAAAAATAAAGACATCAAAGATCCTTTGGAAATTCATAAATTAATTGATAGAGGAAATTATGTGATAAAAGAATTAGAAGCATTATATATGATTAAAAAATATAGATCTTTAAAACATTTATATTATGAAAATGCTTAATTTCATGATTTAAATATTAAAATTCCATTAAATATGATAAAATCAGATAATTATATTATGATGTGAATTAAATATAGTTATTTCAAGTTTACATGTTTTATAAATATAATTAAAAATGCATTATTTACTGATGCATAATTTAAGTGATCTTATAAAGATGATATATTTATAAAGTTAAATTAACTTATAAAATATTCATATAAAATTTAGTAATATCTTTTGGTTAGTGCATTGTACTTATAAATATACCTACAAAATACAATATTCATATTTTCAATTATTTATTTATTATGAATAATAAAAAAATTATTCAATTTGATTCATCAAATATTTTAATTGAAAATTATTGTGGAGCAGTTCATAGTTATGTTAGATACTTACAATACATTTAAAAAAATTTATAAGTATAACATTAATATTGTGGATCAGCAAAATTCAAGTTAAATTAAATGTTGTGTCATCAAAAAGTTTACAATAAATTTGAGAAAATTAAAATGCTAGCCTTCAGTAAATTTAATTAAAATTTAATCCTACAATAAATTTATGAAAATTAAAATACCAAAATGTTAGTTTAAAATAAAAATTTGAAATACTAGATAAAAATATTATATGGTCTTGTTCTGATTCATATTCAATATTATTATTTTCTTTCCTATTTTTTAATAATTTTCCTGTTTCAAGATCTTCAATAGATTTCTGTTTTTAGGGCATGACTAAAATACGCGTCCCCGGTCAAACGGGTTTAATTTATATAATATTAATAAAAAATCTTATTTAGCTTTATAAGATGAGTTAAAAAATGTTTTTTATGATTTTTTAAAAAAATGATAACTTAGTAAAATTTTTAAAAAATTATTTTTTTACATGAGAAAACTACGCGTCCACGGTCAAGATACAATTTTTTTTAAAAAATAAAAGCAGATTCATATTTAGCTCATTAAATGAATATAGAAAATGTTTTTTATGATTTAAAAAAAAAATGATAACTTAGTAAAATTTTTAAAAAATTATTTTATTTAAAAAAAAAAAAAATGTATCTTGACCGGGGACGCGTAGTTTAGTCAAAAAAAATTATAAATATCATTTTCGGAATCTCCTTGAAAAACTATACACGATTCTATATTTATTTTTATAAAAATAATCTATCTTGACTGGGGATGCGTATTTTAGTCAAAAAATGAAAAAAAAGTGTTTTTTCAAAATTTTACTAAGTTGCTACTTTTTTTAAAATAAAAAAAAACATTTTCTGTATCCATTTAATGAGCTAAATAGAATCTGTTTTTATTTTTAAAAAAAAATGTATCTTGACCGGGGACGCCTAGTTTTTCATTTAAAAAAATAATTTTTTAAAAATTTTACTAAGTTATCATTTTTTTTAAATCATAAAAAACATTTTCTATATTCATTTAATGATCTAAATATGAATCTGCTTTTATTTTTTTAAAAAAATTGTATCTTGACCGGGGACGCATAGTTTTTTCATGTAAAAAATAATTTTTTAAAAATTTTACAAGTTATTAATTTTTTTAAATCATAAAAAACATTTTTTAACTCATCTTATAAAGCTAAATAAGATTTTTTATTAATATTATATAAATTAAACCCGTTTGACTGGGGACCCGTAAGGACGCGTAGTTTCCGGGGATGCGTATTTTAGTCATGCCCTAAGAATATTAACACAAATCGACCAATTTCTAGGAATTGTTAGTAAAATGCCACTTCTCTTACTAGAACTGTTAGAAAAACCCATTCTACTAACTTGAGGTTAAAATCTGATTGTTTGTTATAGAAGTTACTGCTTTCTACATAATTTTCTATTAAACATGCTTTTACTTCTGAAATTTATGATATCACTTGAAATATTTTGATCATCACCTTGTAAAATGCCTAATTCATGACTAATAAGATTTACCTCTTGGGGATCAATAAATATGCAGCATTGTGATCACATATATTTATATCTTTTTATCAAACATATATTTGTATTTTTTTAAATATTTGGCCAGGTCAAATACTCCTTCATTGACTAACTTGCCAACCCTGACTAAAACTATCTATTGCATATAATCATAATCATTATTTTTCAAATAAAACTTATTCATGGATAATTTTCTGATATTTTAAAATGAATAAATTAATCGTAAATGAGGGGAAGGTTTTTATTCTAATTTATATTCTAAAAAATAAATCTTTATACATTCATAGTTTTTTTAGTAGAGTATTGATCATTTAAGTATTTTTTTAAATATATGAAGAGAGTACTATTATCATTAAAATCTTGCAATTCATAATGTATGGGGAGTAGATAAAGATTTTTGAGGTGGTTTGCCTAATGAATATTCTATCATATAGATGCTGACTCCAAGCAAGATTGTGAAATTTGGAATACATTTCTAGTTTAATCAGAATATTTCAAAATTTAAAATCACCCTTAGTGAATGATTGTTTTATAGCTACATATTTTGATTGCCATTTTGAACCAAGTCGATAAAAATTAGAATCAGGTGTCATATGATGTAAAGCCCCACTCCCTAAAAATTGGTAAAAGGTAAGGTAATATAATTATCTAAGCATTTTTTAGAACCTTACATTATTTATTTTTTTAATATTTGATATGAAATTATAAAAAAGTAAAATTTAGTCAAACCAATAAAAAGGATTTCCTCAATATATTTGAAATTAAAAAATATTTTCTTTTACGCTTAAACATTAAATTAAACATATGTAATGATGCAAGAATTTAAAGTAAATTACTAGTATGTTTTGAAAGCAAAATTTTATTTATATGAAAATATAAATTGAATATAAGGGACTGAAATATAATTAATTAACACTGCCATCGTTTTTATTTGTATGTTTTGGATATTGAATAATTAAAAGTTGCCGAATATGAGGTGGTAATGAATTGAGTTTATTGATGTTCATGCTTTTATTATTATTTATTATTATTTGAGATATATTTTTAGAGTGTGCATTATCAATTTTGATATTTTGAATAGGGCTTGAAAAATTATTATTACAACTTGATATAGAAGAATTTAAAATTGTTGCAAAATTTGGTTGTGCTACTATTTTATTTTTTAAAATTAAATCACTAGGCATCAATGTAAGATTTTCTTCAGAAAGGGTTATCTTACCTTTTTGTAAAATGCTCTTAAAAATAAAATATATATTAATAATAAAATAATATATATAATAATAAAATATATTTTATACTGATTTATTTGACAATTCATCAGTCATTAATTGTTTATTTAACAAATAGATGCTAGATTGAAAATTGTCTTTTAAGTTAATAGAATTTGAAATATTTCTATATGGATCATTGTATTGGTCAAGTTTTTGCATGAATAATCTAAATTTACAGATAATTAATGTGTTGCATTATAATATAATTAACTCTTTTTTAGATTGAAGAGATTTTAAAACAGCATTCATGTTTGAAATTTTTATAATCAAATCTTTATTATACTATCGGAAAAGTGCTTAAGAATAAAATAGGTTATTTACTTTCAGAACTTCACTATATTCATTTAAAAGTAGGGTATATTTCTTATAATAAGAGTCCTTCTGCATTGTATCATATCATCTGGTAATATTAAATTGCTAAATTCACACGTTTGTAAGTGACAGACATTAATAATGACATGTTTCACAATCATAACTTCTTTTTTTTTTACTTTTTTTTTTGTTAACATTATTTGATTTTTATGCAATAGTTATAAACTATTTAACAATTTTTTTTTAACAGAAATTTTTTGCTTAGCTCATAGGTTGACAGGACCATCCCTATGGCTTAGCCTAGTTAGGCTTGGAGGCAAAAAAGGGTATCGATATATATAATTTACATAGTTTTAAATTAATTTGTATATAAAATTGAGACTTGAATGGCATTGGATCTTATCATTTAGGTTTGCTTAAGAAAGTTTTTTTTTAAATTTATAGATTTCTCATAAATAATTCGGATTGACAATTATGCAAACTTCGATATTCGACAAATAGAAGTCCGCACTTTTTTGATTTCTATGAGCAAAATTTTCATGCTTAAATAATATCATTTAGGTTAAAATCTTAATCCGGCCATTAAATCTGGCTTTTAAACAAATCTATTCTTCATTTAAAAGTTTTTTGTTTTTTTTTCCTTTAAAGCTTTCACCTCTTGTGGTGGTAAGCTCCTTCACTTATCTATTATATTATGACTCAGGCTATCTATTTTTATCTTTGTATTTCTGATCGATTTCATTTGTATCGATCACCGGTGTATCACTATCGAGGCCAAAGTATCTTGATCTCCCCCACCGGTGTATCAAATTAATATCGACCAGATATCCCACCTGAGTATTCCTCACACTGAATTATCAAATCGACAGATATCCCAATCCTGATCTCCCACTGGTATCAATCCCGATGGATCTCCCACCAAAGTATCGTTATCAAGTTCATTGTAACTTGGTAGACATCCCCCGAAATCACCATCATCCTAGCGCTGGCCAAGAAATCCTCATCATCTGACACACGGTTCAGCTGGCCGTCTTTTTTGGTTTATTGGACAAGTATCCTAGCACCCGGCTGTCCAAGCCTGTCGGTGACCGGGGTGGCATTTCTCAGCTCAGAAATTTATCATATCTAAAGCCATACATCATTGAAGAAAAACCCGAAATTTTTTAGCTCCTTACCAGGATTGAACCTGCGTCCACTGCGTCCTTCTGTTTCCAAGCATATAAGTATTTAGGTAATAAATTAAAAGTATAGCTTGCTAGTATTTTTTTATTTAGGGTTGCTCAAATTTAAATTAATTTCCTCCGCCCCCTCTTGAGACCAAGCTAAATAAAAGATAATACTCCATTATCCTTTTATTTAAGAGACAAAATTAGTTTGTATAATAAAAAATTTTTAGAAGATAATATTACCATCTTTAGATAATATGGCAGATGTAATATAACTTTTTTAGTTTCTATTGTTCCTAAATAGTGTTGTATTATAAAAATAGATGGCGGCAACCGACTTAACTTATCCAAAATATACAAATTCAAATATAAATAAAAATTTTTAAATTATTTGTTAGAAGAATTTCATGTGATCGCAAAGCTTTTTAATTGAGAAATTACCAATTACGTAAAATCTTATATGGGCTAGCACTGGATTATTATCTACGAAGTTAAGTGATTAGAACCGCAAAATAATTATTTGCACATTATATAATACTAAACATTATATAATTTTTAATGATGCAAGCATTTTATCAAATAAAAGATACTTAATTTGAAGTAAGTTTTTATTTTTCATATTGGCTTTTTTCTTGATTTTTTATCTTGATTTTTTTTCCATAGAGATATTTTTTCCGTGGTTCCTGTAAACCTTCTTTCAAGAAACCCATGCAAAATAAGAGAGAAAATATTGTTTAACCGATACGATATTTAAAACCAATATCAAAATTAATACAATATCAATTATATTGGTATTGCAAGTAGAGTTGTTCAGGGCGCTCCAGGAGAGAGGAGGGAATTAGCTCCTTTTAGAGCTGGAGTGGAGCAGCGCTGCTCAACCGCTCTTTTAAATGTAATGTATAAATTAAATTATTTTTTAAATATTAATAAATCTATTTAGTTATTTTAAAATTTAATAAAAATGAAATTTTATTTTATTTAAATTTATGCAATATTAAATGTTGAGCCGTTTTTCACCTAATCAGTTAAAATATTAAAATCAAGTTTTTCTTTCTTTTAATATTGAAAATTTCTTGGAAAATCTTTTAAGTTACAATATTCATTTTATATATATATATGATAAAAAATAGTTTTTGATATTATGGATCCAGACATCATAGAAGAAGAAATCGAAATAAAAAATAATTTATCTATTTAAATGACTTTATTGCAGATTTTCAAATATTTATAATGCTGAAAATTTCTTTGCTGCTATTATCCATCCTGCATTCAATTTAAATTGGGAATGGATAAAATGTGCACAAAATATGGAACTAAAATACAAATTAATTAATTTTTTAAGGAAACAAATTCCTGATGCAAAAATAGTTACAGTTCACGGGAACCCTGCAATGTTTTGGAAGATTTTTTTTGGATTCCATGAAATTGATCATCAGGAAGATAATATATTGGACAAATATTTTTTAAATAATGATATCAAAATTACCATTTTTGATAAATTTCCTGAATTGAAAAATATTTTTTATAAAATATCGCTTCCTTCTAGTGCTCATGTTGAGCGACTAAAAGGGTTTTAGGAGAGAAGTGTGGATGTTTGTTAGATTCAAATTTAGAAAATTTATTACTTTTAAAAGCTAATCAAAGGTTAGAAATATTTTGATATCATTTAATATAAATAAAACATTTTTGATCAAAAACTGTGATTCTGTTTCGTGTACTTTCTAAAAAAAAAATGAACAAAGGAGCGGCTATGGATATGCACACCATTACTTGGAGCGGGAGCTAGCTCCTTTTGAGAAAGTAAGTGGGAGCGGGATCTGGCTACTTTTAAAAAGGGGCGTTAACAACCATAATTATTTGAATAACTATCAAAATAACATTATTTCAAAATAATGAAACAAATGTATTTTTAAAAAAATGATATAGGTTTTAAAATCATGATTAATTTGGAATTTTTTATAAACCAGATGAACGAAAGTTATTTAGAAATTATGGTGTAGGATATATACAGAAATATATTTTAAAAGGATTGAATATTATTATGAATGTACACATAAAAGATCGTGTTCATGATATTAAAAAACTTATTTAATGCACCAATTTATTGATATAAAAATTTATATAAACAAATTTATTAAAAAATTATAATATAAAGAAATAAAATATTATAATAATTAATGTATATTAATTTATATAAAAATTATGAGTATAAATAATGCTCTAAAAATAAATTCTAAAGCAAACATAGATTTTAAGCAATAATATTATACAATTGACAAGAGATTCGTCACTCATTTAAAATTATAAGTATAAACCGTCGAACAAATAGCATTTGTTAAAATACAGCACCAAACTACTGGGTTTTAAAAAAATCATAATAAACTTCCAAATTATTTTTTGATTGAAGGAAATTAAATGCAATTGGTGGCATTAAGTATATTATTTAGACATTTGTAAGTTTTCCTAATAACACCTTATAACCTATACAACAGTTAAAAAAAAATATTATCTATAAATAAATTAGAGAAAAAAAATATATGTTTTTACATTTATTTAATGGGTACAAACAACGCAAGAGAGTTCTTTGCCTGATGGATATCTATCAGGTGGTAAATCACCAGCCATGACTTCTACTATATAAAGAGCAGCTCCATCTCCGGGAGTTTGATTAGGCTCCTGATCGGCGTCCTCATCGACACACGTGAAGACAGCTCTACTCAATTCTTCGTTCCCGGACATAATATAACCTCTATATTCCATAGTCCACCCGGGGGGACAATTCGCGAAAGCTGGGAACATAAAAACATCTGGACGGGGTACACAGCATAAAGCGCACACTCCTACCTTGAATTTATGACCACGTTTGGTTAAAGGGGAGTGGGTGTCATATATACGGAATTCTGCTCCATATATGTTAGCTTCCGATTGAAAACCATCAGCGTAAAGATCATAAGTGGGACGTTTAGGCAGGCATTGATAATCATAACCAGAACCGGAAAAGAAGTAATGACCGCCAGATATATAGCCTAATCATTAATGGATGGGGTGGAATATATTTATTTTTATGAAGAGTCTTTCAGATATAATTTATACATCTTAAAATAAGTTCGTTATCATAGAAAGATATTATTTCTAGAGGTAAATTAGAAATAATTTTAAAATAATAATTTAAATCATGAATAGCATTTAATGCCAACGAATATTTAATATATTGACTATTTAATGCCATGTATAATTTAAGTCATTTTAATCTGTTATATAAGTGATTTAATATTAATTTTCTTGTAAATTTTTTATTTAGTTTATTATAGGCAAATTATGTGAAATTTGTACCGTCATATATGAGTGTACCATCTCTTGAGATTCCATTACATTTAGATTTGCCCCAATGTACGTAACAAACCCATTGTTCCATAAGAACTAAATAATTTATTCACAAAGTTATATTTATTAGGACTAATATTGTTTAAATAATATCATAACGCTCTATCGCCAATATTTTTCTCATACCATAATTTTTAGATATTTAAATTAAATCAGATGATACTATTAAAAATAATCTGAAAGAGAGTAATGAATTAATTGTTAAAAATAAAAAGTGCAGAGGTGTAACAGACATCTTCAAATCCCTCTGCAAGAGGAAGGAAGGCACCACTAGCCGTAAAATATACACAATTATAGTATTTTCATATATAATATACAGAAATTGTAATTTTATTTATATAATAATCTTCTACATTATATTAATTTAAAAATAAAACGGTCTAAACCCAAAAATTTAATTTAGGGTTAATTAATTTATACAATTTCAAAAATTATTTAATTAAAAAGAGTAATATGAATAATGGATACCATCGTGGATATTTATGAGAGATCTATAATTTTTGTATTCAACAGAGCTCTACATAGATTAAAGTTTTGTAGTCATACCCTGCATAAGTCCATGGGAGAATTTTAGGCTTGACTCACAGTTTAAAAACAAATTGGACCAAGCTCAGCCCATAGTTAATTAAATACTTTAAGCCATGTTCAGGCCCATTAAAAAATTTAAATAGAAATTTGGTCCCTTCATATTTATAATAAATAGTATGTATTTTTTTAAATAAACACATATAAAAAATAAACCCTGAGGTCCGGCCACTTGGCAATTGGTGCATTTTCCGGGCTGACCATCGGTTCCAGCCCTACCACCTTTACCTGGTGCGCCATCGAGACCAGGTGCACCTGGTAGCCCGTCTGGTCCGGCATCTCCTCTACCTCCTGCTTTACCCGCCGACCCTGGTCTACCCGGAGCTCCTGGTGGGCCTTTAGGACCGGCTTCACCCGGAGTCCCAGGGAATCCATCATTTCCGGGTTGACCATCTTGTCCCGGTTGCCCTGCGGGCCCCACGTCTCCTGCTTCGCCTGGTCTTCCTGTATTACCGACTGCCCCTACTTCACCGTCTTTGCCTGGAAACCCTAACTCACCCTTTGGACCTGGAGTTCCCTGTAAAAAGATTATCAATGATTTTTTATTCCATCTTTTAATTTATCATTTTGTTAATCTACTTCTAGATATAATTAAAATCAAAACTCTCAGATTCCAATTCTAATATATTTAGATAACAAGTCTTTTGAAAGCAAAATAAACACAAAACTTGAATAAAAACGGGTTTGGTTACGGTTTAAAATATCATTAAAAGTAAGTTCTGGTTTTTTCTTAAATTTAATAAGGTTCGGTTGATTCCAATTCCAAACCCTGCCAGTAAGCAATAAAATTAATTTAATAAATTAACCATCAAATAACCCTTTAAACTGAATCACAGCATTTGATCACTTGAATACAATTTAGTAAAGTTGTTAAAAATGACCCGGTTAATATTTTAGCCAGAATAATATAATGTAAGCCTCGAGATTTGGCAGGTTCAACCCTTTCTGCCATCTATATGCAAAATATCCAAGCTTATTATTTTGTCTAAATTTTAATCGGGTTTAAAAATCGACTCGAATCAGTCTTTTTAACAACCCTATAATTTAGTCACACTTTTGTTGTGATAGGTTCTTATATTAGTTCCTGTAAATTTTAAAATGGGTCTGGTTTTCCCAAAAATTTCTAGAGAGGGGTTCCGGGTGCTGGGTTTTAAATAATGGAAAAAAATGCTTGGATCATAAAATTTTAAACATTTAGGTTATGCAATCTTATTGATTTGTTATTAAAAAACAGTAAATATAAAATTTAATAATTTAAATTAAGTTATGTACCCTTTGTCCCGGTGTTCCTCTTTCGCCATTTTTACCAGAAGCACCATCAGATCCTGGAAAGCCATCATTTCCAGGTAAGCCAGAAGCACCTGGTAATCCGTCTAACCCTGCTCTTCCATCTTGTCCCTGTTATTACATAGAATTATTTTGATAATGGTTAAAAAAATTAAATCAAGTTTTTAATATTTTTTTAAGAAAAGGTCCAATTTTTAGTTTATGTCAAACCCCGTAATTTACATTTCAAGTAAATCAAGTTTTAAATATTTTTTATGAAAAGGTCTAATTAGTTTCTGCCAAACCCTGTAATTTTACATTTCAAGCCCGTCCTGAGATAAATTTTGTCATTAAAAATAAAAAATTTTAGCTCTATTTTCTAAATTGTTTAAAGGGAAATTGAAATAGAGTAGGGAAATGTGCCATGAATGGCCATGTTTTTGCTTTTTTGAATAAAAGGTATTAAGATTTGGGTTTAAACCTAATAAATTTTATATCAATGTGTAGCTTAATTATCAATCTTTAAAATAAAATTTGAATCAAAACTCTATCTATAATAGTTTAAGAACTAGATGATGTTATGTGAAAGTTGTCTTTCTGGCCAGTCAAAACTTAGTATGTATTGACTGGCCATATACTATGCGTTGACTGGCCATAATTATTATTTAAGAAATTTGTTATTAATATGAATCATTACAATATGAAATACTTGCAAAAGACCTATCTTATATATATATCTTCATTTTTTAGGAATATAAAAATTTAATTATACAAAAAATTAATTATTAACAGCAAAATTTATCATCATCCATTTAATAATAATATTTTATAAATTAAATCAAACATTCTTATTTCAATAAAATTAATCACTATATATTTAATGAGTTTATAAATTATTATCTTAATTAATTACATGTTAAAATGATTAATAATTAAATCATAGCCATTTATAAATTTATGAAATTCAATAAACTAAATTAGACATAATATTTTTTAAGAATTTTATAATAAATATGAAATATTACAGTTAGAAATATTTGTAAAAGACCTATTTTTTCATATTTAGTTAATAAAAATTTAATTATACACTAATTTAATTAGTATTAATATTTAAATTTATCATCATCTATTTAATATATTTTATAAATTAATATCTTAATTATAACATTCTTAATTCAATTAATCACAATCTATTTAATAATTTTTTAAATTATTATCTTAACTATCTACATGTTAAAAGGATTTTCCAACAATTTAATCATTCATTATGTTTAATAAACTTAATTAAACAATTATTGATACCCAACAATAATGAAAACCATTTTATTAATTTATAAATGAAACAATTATTATATCTTTATTTACATATAAAACAAATAAATCATTGTTATTTGTACATTGAATATGAGCCCATTCTTCACACTTCAGGCATTTAATCCACTCTTCACCTTTCTTGCTCTTTTAATATGCCTTCTTACATATTATGTAAAGCCACTAATCTTGAGTTTTCTTTAGATTCTTCTTTTTATTGTTTTTTTAATATTTTTTAATTTATGTTTTTTATATGGTGATGAGGTCAAAATTTCTAATTTCTTTTTCCTGTTGTCTATTAATATTATTACTATATAAAATTGGACGTGGTAGAATAAATTGTGAATTAAAATTATTATTGGACTGGTTACATGATGTTAAGTTATACAACTCATCATTAGAAGTGGTAGGCATAAGACTAGGAGTGGAATTTATTGAATCATTTTCAGGATCACAATAAGCTAATTTTATCACTGTCAAAGGAATATTGGATAATTCTGACATATTATCATCATTATATATTAAATAACTATCTTCAGAGAATACATCAGGGTTGTAAAGAAATATCCCACATGCTAAAAATCCATTCTGAATATTTTTGGGGGTTGTAGCTTTAGTAAGCTCCATTTTAATAATTGATGGTATATCATATATAGTAAAGATTGCCTACATGGTTTCTCATCCAATTGTCGATTCTGTTATTATAAAAAATTTTAAATGGGCCAAAGACTTGTTTTATGCTAAAATCCATGAGAGATTTGCTAGCCTGTACTATATAATCTTTTAAAACATCCTCCTGAGCTCTGGTGAATATTAACCTATTTAATTGCCATCCCATATGAGGATATTGTAAAGTCTTTTTATATTTATTCATTGCTTTTCTTAATGTTGTTCTTGGAATATTATATTTAGTAGCTGTTGATAATGTTGATCTTTTATTAAATTATATCATCAATTGCCAGTTTAATTTGTTTTTCACTTGAATTTGCATGAAATATTCTTTTCATTTGAATATGAATGTATAAATTTTGGCCAGTCATTGCCTAGCCAGACAAGACTCACCTATCTATTATTAATAATCACCTTTATATGTCTATTAAATAAAACCTTTAAAGTCTAATTTTTTGTGTAAATAATGCTAAATGCCTAAATATAATATTTATATAAAATGTCAGTAATTTAAATTAGTAATTTTTTGACAAAACAAAAAAATGTGTTATGATTTTTCCAGAAAGAGGTATTAAAAACAGTTCATTTGAAATATTTTTTTATTGGATTGCTCTATTCAATAAATGAACTTATGTAAGGTACATAACATAAATATACACATTTTGACCAATTTGAGAGAAATCGATCAAATAGATAAAAAGTTAAAGGGTGGTGGCCAGTCTTCAAACATGGCCGTTTATGGCACATTTCCCCTAAATGCTTCAACGAGTTGATTGATATAATTTTAGTTTATTTTAAATAATCTACCCCAGTCGGGGTATTGTAAAAAAACAATGTTTTTTAAGCTTGGCCGGAGTATTTATATTTTTAAGCTCTGGGGAAATTTTTTAAATTTTACAATTTTATACCCGCTTCCGATTTAGCCGAATGTAAGATCGGATCGGGTCTACAGGTCTCTTTGCTATATAAATAAGATATAAAATAAAGTGTGTAAGAGGAAAAAGAGTAAATCGGGCCCAAAGCTGGTGGTGAGTATATAGATTAAGAGGGAAAAATAAGAGAGGCCAATCTAGGTAGAGATTAGCGAAAAATGTTGATAGTTAAAAAAAAGAAATTAAGAGATTTATTATTATATAATATTTATAAAAACTAGGCTTCCAAAAAATATAATCGAATTTTTCTTTATTTGTTAATTTTGATTTAGAACAGCAAAAAATAAAAGTTGGCTTCCCCCATATTTCAACTTTATTTCTTATATTTAATTTGTTTTAGGAAATTTTAAACAAGTAGTCACTATAATAATTTAAAAAAATTAATATTGCTAGTGTCAGAAAAAATAAAATATTTAATTAGAGTGACTTTCTTAAAAAAAATTAAAATAAAGAATAATTCAAATATTTAGATTTTAGGTAAACTGCAAATTCCAAGGTAAACTGCAAATGCGCAAGTAAAAATTTTTGATACATACTCTATTAATTGAAGTGAGATTAATTTTCTTATTGTATTTCCTTTTATCTCCTAATAAATAGTTTAAATCCTTTAATATGAAAATGAATCTCACTTCAATTAGTAGAATATATATCAAAAAATTTTACCTAAGCATTTGCAGTTTAACTTGGCATTTGCAATTTACCTTGGCATTTGCAGTTTACCTAGGCATTTACAGTTTAGTCAAACCTTTACATTATAATATATTAAAAAAATGGAAATTTTAAGATCTTTTCAAATTTTATTTATTCTTTGATATAATTTGCCGTTATAATTAAATTAAATTTTATTATATTATTTTTTAAATTAAATTATATTTGGTTATGATTTTATATGAATACAATTTTTAAAAAAAGTTTAAAATTATATTTTAATTTTATTTAATTTTTAAGTTTTTTTTCAAAACTAAATTGATAGAAAGTATAAAGAAGATATTGTAAGTATTAATGACAAATATAAATTTTATGATGTATTTTTTTGGATTTCGGTTTGGAAATTTTTTTTTGTCGCTAAAACATTCAGAATGAAAAGGCTATTTAAATGTAAATTTAAATATTATTATAACATTGTGCTCAGATATTTCCAACTAAAATTGCTTAAATGTATATTTTTATGTTTCCGGTTCGAATAATAATTTTTTTGTGGCGAAAACATTCACAGGGAAAAGGCTAACATTTTAAACGTAATTTTAATAATTTTTATATCATAAAACTCAGAATTAAATTCTCTATCCAAAAATGCTTAGATGTATTTATTTACGTTTCGGTTCGAAAAATATTTTTTTTGTCGCTAAAACATTCAGAGGGAAAAGTCTACATCTTAAACGTAATTTCAAATATTATATCATTATACTCAGAATGAAATTACCTATCTTATCTTTTTAGCTATCTTATCTGCTATTAATATTTTAAAAAAATGACTGGCCGGCATACATTTGTTATAGGGGAGAGCAATTAAACAACTTTGTTTACTACTGAAGCATGATGTGGATCTCTTAACAAATGGGATGAGGGAAATTGACGATAATAATGAAAGTAATAAATTTCCCCGCTATTTTAAAGAATATTAAAATGTTAGCCTTTTCCCTCTGAATGTTTTCGGACAAAAATTATTCGAACCGGAAAAGTAAAAATATACATCTAAACAATTTTAGATAGGAAATTTAATTCTGAGTACAATGATATAATTATATTCGAAATTACGGTTAAGATGTTAGCCTTTTCCCTCTAAATGTATAAAAAATATTTTTCGAACAGAAAACGCAAAAAAATATATCCAAGCAATTTTAGATAGGAAATTTAATTCTGAGTACAATGATATAATAATATTCCAAATTACGTATGTTAGCCTTTTCCCCCTGAATGTATTCGCGATAAAAAAAAAATTTCAAACCGAAAACCAAAAAAATACATCAAAATTTATATTTGTCATTTACTTCATAATCCAGTACTTATAATATCTTTATACTTTCTATTTAGTTTTGAAAAAAACTTAAATTGAATAAAAAATATAATTTTAAAAGTTGCATTTTTAAAAAATTGAATCAATATTCTTTATAACATATTTTTGCATATATCTTATTTTTTTGTACGATATTGGTTTCCATTGTTATTTTGTCTTCACAAAATTAAAGAACACCCTTTTTAAAAATTTTATTGAGCCCCCCCCCCCTCCCAATTAAATTTTCCCCGATTTTTCGATTACTTTATTTTTTTAAAAAATTATTTTTAAAAGGGGAAAATACCAATTAAATTCAAACCCGAATTCCCCTATCTAAATATTCTTTGATTAGCGACCGAAGTCGATCCCTCCGCATTCCAGGAATTTCTTGTTCTACCCATTATCAGTGTTATATTATCATGTTATTGTTCAGTCCTATAAAATAATAGTAGAACTGGGATATTTTTTTGGTTTGAGTCTATCAAATAATAACTTTAAAAAGAAGGAAGACTGTGACTGGCTCGACTTAATTTTAATATAGGCTAAACAGATTAAAATAGGACATCCTAGTTTGGTTTGTTTTAATAATTTGGTGATATTGTTAATTTTAGTATTCCTAGATTTTTGTTTTTTTTAAACTATTTTTTATTTTATTATATGTTGTTTTTTTTCTTTTACTTTACAGACTATTTATTCGAATCTATAAGCTGGGTAAACACGGCTGTATAGCAGGGGCATCACTTTTGCAATCACAAGAAACTCAAAATATTTTTTAATTATTTTCAAAAATTTCAAATTTTGAGGGGGCTCTTCAATCTTTTTAGGGGACTCAAGCCCCTGCCCCCTCCCTCTCTTAGTGACACTACTGCTGGTTAGTAATAAGTAAACCAGGACATGGCTTAGGGACTTAAAAATTTAAAAATGCAGCAATAAATATGTAAAATATATTATTAAAAAAATGACGACAAATTTAAGAAAATATTAACTACCGCATCTCCAGCTTTCCCAGGAAATCCATCTATGCCATTATTACCCGGAGAACCTGCTTGCCCAGGTATACCATCTCTACCTGGTTCTGCATCACTTCCTGGACGTCCAGCCTCTCCTCTATCACCCTGAATCATTTATAATTTATTCCATTTTATCTCGAAATCTACATTTTTATAACTTGATAAAAATTCTTGATATTATATAAACTTCCATAAACAGTTTTAATATTAAAAAAATTAAAATTATAATAGCTCAAAAAATATTAATATAGTATAATTTGAGCATAATTAGCATTCTCTTAAATTTAATTAATATTTCATTTGTAAAGGTTAATTTTTTAACTGCTGCAAAGGAAAAACTAATTAAATTAGAAGAACACTTTAATTTTAAATAATTATTTGAACGGGTGCTCCAGGAGATCCTGGGTTGCCGTCTTTTCCATTATTTCCTGGTTGTCCATCATTGCCAGCATCTCCATCTTTACCGGAATTACCTGGGGCGCCATCATTCCCGGGAGAACCAACTTCACCCTTTACATTTATTTATGATATATATTTTTATTTCATATAAAACGATTGGAATTTGATATTATACATTTGAGATGTTGAATATAATTTTATATATTACATCAAATAACTTTGTTATAGAAGAATAAGTTTTGTATATGATGGTCATATTTAAAATTTTGTTGTATATATATCAATTATCATTAGATACTTTTTAAATGTGTTTGAATACCGATATATAGTTTTAAAGGTAGCTAAATACAGATACAATATTTTGCAAGATACCATTTATATTATATTCATGTAAAGTTTACATAATGCCAAAATTAAAAATCTATTGATAAAGCTCAAATTGTGAATTGACCAAACATTTTTTATTGAAATAATTAAATGAGAATAAAATATTATTGTTAGCTAATATCAATAAAAAATTCTCATAGTTTTTTTTCAACATATTTATAGTCACACTAAAAATCTTTATCGCGCTGGAAGGTAATGTAGTGTTTTACTTTATGAATAACATTTTTAGTATAATATAAAAATAATCATTCATAGTTTGAGGGTGTTAAAATTTATATCCATATCCTCTTAGGGTTTTTAAAAAAATTACAATTCTTAAATCTTTTCTTGTTATTTAGTATTTATTGGAAATTTTGAAAATCTTTAATAATCAATAGCTGTGTCAATTCTTTTTATATCTGGCATTTGATGTCAAGTCCAATCATGTTTGAAAAACTTCCTGTTGATGTATGGATTTTTTCTTCTTTGTCAATTACATGATATTAATTATTTAAAGATTTATAATACATAAAGAAACTGATCAATCGCTATTCGAGTCCTTATTAAGACCCGGATACCAGTTTTTGGAAGTCATTTCAAACTTCAGCTCCAATTCACCAATAAAAAGCTTTACCTAAGGAATCAGCCCACATTAGTATAACTGTGACTTCCATAGACACATTAAGGCATAGTTTTCACTGCCGATCGTGTAAAGGTTGAATCCTTCGGCATAACTAGCGCAATATGCTAATCTAACGAGACTTAAATATCTGCTCTAGCTAAGCCTCCTAGAATTTTTATATCCGATAAAAAATAGCCTAGTGGGATCTCCGGATATTATGAAAAAAGGGTCAATTCTTGTTTGGGAGTAATCTTGAATCGATGCAATGGCTCCAGCCAACCAAAACTTTAGAAGATCACGTTTTAATCTTCCATTCTTATTTTCTTCTTTATTTTATTCTTTTTATAGTCAAAACAATAGATTCTTTATTATAAAATTGTTTCCTATATATAGTCTTTTATAATTATGTCATTTAACTACTACTAATATGCAATTACATTGACCTCCATAAGATAAAATGTAAGAAATATATAATTCAAATAGCGTAACATAGGCGTAGCCAGGATTTTCATAGGCGGGGGGGGGGGGGAGGAAATTAAAAATTACTGGGGCTTCGCCCCCAGACCCCTTTTTGGGCGGGCCTTCGGCCGGGTTACTTTAGTCTATATATAGTCATAAATATTTTTACAAATTTTAATATAAGCCTGGAACAAATATGAAATATATTTTTATTAGTTTATATAAAATAAAAATATAGTAAATTACTTGTATTGTATATACCTTAATATAAAAGCATGGTAATAATTTATTCCAAACAATTATAAGTAATTTATTTATAAAAAATAAGTAGACATATAGTTGATTTTACTCTATTATATGGAATTAGTTATAAAATACTAGGTAAAATTCCACTTTTACAGACATATTTGGCAGTTAGAGAATATATTACAGTTAATAATTTAACAAATTTTATTAAAATGCTCTTGATATTAAATATGCAACAATTTGCATTCAATTATTTAACGCCATCTATTTATTTTAATAAAAATGATATTTAAATTTAATTTTCATATTATTTATCCCACAATGTCTTTAAAAGTTATTTTCTGCCCTTGTCTCCCCCCCCCTGGCTACGCCTATGTAGCGTAACCTTTTAAAATATATATAAACATTCAAATATAATACCAAGTTAAGATCGTGATGTTTTACTACAGAGGTTTCTAATTTTTCAGTAATTGATGGTTTCAGGTATTCGGCCCGTTGAGGAATGTTCGGAATTTCTATATGTAACTAATACTTCATTAAGGCATTTTTTCCCATCATTTGTTTGTTCTCAAATACCGATTTTTTATAGTTGCATCTTTCAACTAATCCGTTACTTCTCGGATGGTATGGTGTAGTTTTTAAGTGTTGTATATTCTTATTTTTGCACCATTGTGGACCATTGTCTGTGACAATTTGACGTGGAACACCATATCGTGTAAGCCATTTTTCTATTAAATATTTACTTGTATCTTTGATTCTATCGATCTCTATCCATTTTGAATATGCATCGATTCCTACCAGCCAATAAAATCCGTCTAGTGGTCCGGCAAAATCTAAATGTACCCTTTCCCAGGGTTGTGCTGGCGGATTCCATGGGTATACGGCAACTTCTGGTATATCTCTGCGATGTTTTTGACGCCCAATACATATATAATGTCTCGTAATGGATTTCATCGATGTAATACCGGGATGACCTGTATGTAATATCTGTAAAACTCGTTTTTGTAGTGAATATGGAATTATTAAGCGACCATTCCAAAATAGGATACCGTCATCATTTTCTATTTCATCTATTCTTGTTCTAAAAGCTTGTAATTCTGGTGCTTGATTTTGTATTATTTTTACGCAGTTTCATCTCTAAGTTCTTATCTTGATACAGTTAATGTGTCATAAGTAAGATTTCGTCGGGCTAGCTCCTTTATATTTTTTAAATAGCTCATTACGGATTCGGTAGCCCCGCGACTTAATCTAATGAAATCAATTCTTGATGCCAAAATAGTTCTTTCATCTTTATATAGTTGTTTTGCTATTTTATATATGTCAATCCATCCTACCTCCTCTATATTCCTAGGATAGAGTAATATTTTGATATCAGTTATAATGTTTATTCCTCCGTAAGCTATAAATAATTTTTTTAAAGTGGCGTCAGTTTGAGGAATATTTTTCACATTTAGTATATATTTGATATAATCAAAGTAGTCCTCGATAGAACAATCTTCCTTTTTAAAGTCCTGGAGAATAATTTTATCCATAATTTCTAAATATATATAATTTTTTTTATATAAACAGAAATTTTTTTTTATAATTCTATATATTATTAAGCTTGACCAAAGACCGAAAACCGCGCGACTTAGATTTTTTATCTCGTCGCCATTTTTTATAGTCAAAACAATAGATTCTTTATTATAAAATTGTTTCCTATATATAGTCTTTTATAATTATGTCATTTAACTACTACTAATATGCAATTACATTGACCTCCATAAGATAATATAAAATGTAAGAAATATATAATTCATATAGCGTAACCTTTTAAAATATATATAAACATTCAAATATAACAATTCTATATATTTTTTATTAAAAAAATATAATGTATAAAGAAAATATTTATTTCTAAAAAAATTTCTAAAAGAGAGTGGCCAAAAAAAGTAACTAAAAAGGACAATATAAAAAATCAAATAAATATTTTTTTAAAAAAGGCGTGGGGTCATCCAAGGAAGAATATATCCCTAGAAAGTTACATAGACCGATAGTAATATATAATAAAAACGCCAACAGCTAAAAAAAATGTCTAGGTACCGATACTTTTATAAAAATATAACTAAATAAAATACCATATATTTGAGTCTAGATATTTTAGCAAATCTCACATATACAATCATTTAACTATTATGTAATTATTAAAAGACAAGAATTATAAATTTAATAATTCAGGTTTTAAAAAAAATTAGGCAGAAAAATCTAAATGTATTTTCAATAGCAATTTTCATATAATTTTTTTCAGTATAAATACCAAATATCTATCGTAAGATTCTCGTGGTATTGATTTCTTTCTTTCTTTCTTTCTTTCTTTCTTTCTTTCTTTCTTTCTTTCTTTCTTTCTTTCTTTCTTTCTTTCTTTCTTTCTTTCTTTCTTTCTTTCTTTCTTTCTTTCTTTCTTTCTTTCTTTCTTTCTTTCTTTCTTTCTTTCTTTCTTTCTTTCTTTCTTTCTTTCATTTCTTTCTTTCTTTCTTTCATTCTTTCTTTCTTTCTTTCTTTCTTTCTTTTTCTTTCTTTATTTTATTCTTTATTTATTTATTTATTTCTTTCATTCATTCTCCTCTAATAAAACTTTTTAAAAAGTCATAAGTTAAAAACTAGAAATCCGGCTCTGCCAGTCTGTCCATCATTGCCCTTTTTCCCACTATTTCCTGACTTACCATCATTACCCCTACTACCGGGTTGACCATCGTTACCATTTTTACCATCCGCTCCAGGGTTACCCTTTAAAAATTTTTTTTAAATAGAATGTTTTATTTAAAATGGGAAAAAAGTTATAACAGAAATTAATACTCGCATCGAACAATACTCACAACATATTAGCTAAATTCAAATAATCCTAAAATTGAAACAAATTTGAGATGAAGATAATTTACCATTTTTGATAGGGGAGTTAGATTGTGATTCCATATTATTATTTTTAAATAAAACTTAATTTTTTTCCAATTTCGATTGGTGAAACTTATTTACCTATGTGTATATCTATCTACATGTTATATTTTAGGATTTATATTTATTTAATTAGATAAATATATCTTATTTTATAATAATAATAATAATACTCACAATCTATCTAATCCAACAAATAATTTTTTTGACATGTCTGTAAATATCACTAATTAACGAGAGAAGTCAAAATTTTGATTGGACTATCTAAAATTAATCTTAAGATTTATTTTAAGAGTGACTATTAATTGTTCACTTCACAAACATATATTTAGAGAAAACAAATAATGGTTTCCAAGCCTGTAACCATGGATTTTTACTAAGGAAGAAGCGAATGGATAAGGGTTTTTTTTATATATTTACTACGAATAAATCTACCAACAGGGAAGCAAATTTGAAGATGCATATTTATAAATTAAATAAAAGAAAAAAATCATGCTTATACGATATATTTGGTCAAAAATAAACATTAGGGAACCAAATATAAAATTGCTTATTTTTTGATAAATCAAAGAGAAAGAAAATTTTTATAATTCATTTTAAATTCTTATCTTTCTCTTTTTTTAAATAAAAAATTTCCTACTTTGAAAACTATTAATTTAAAATGTCTAATAATTCTAATTGGATTGTAGAAAATTTATTTAAAATATCATTTCGCTCAAGAAATTGATGTTCTTATAGCATTTCGTGGCTATTTAAATATATATGAGGGTAATTTGCTAATTTTTTAATATATTTTTCAAGAATCGGATTTATTATTTGATACACTTCAAACTATAATTAACGATATTATTGTCTGAAAAGGATTAAAGATTTCAAAAATTCTAAAGAAAAATTTGATGTTTTTGTGGAAATTTATATAAAAGAGAATATTGAAGACAATTTAGATATGAAAAAAATGTAATAGATTCGGATTGCCCAATAAAAGAATTTTATAAAATTTTGATAATTAAAAGAAGAGATAATTTAGATAATAATTTATTAAATCGTTTTCGGTTCGATACATTAATAAATATGAAATTCGTAGAATTATTAGATAATGACAAATTCTAAAAATTTAATCAAAAATTTATTGGACAAATTAAATTAAACTCTTCTCAATTTTTTGACTTACACAAGCCGAACCCCGATTTAAAGGTAAGTGTTTAGGGATGATGAATTTAGAAAGAAAAAGAATGGCAATGAAATACTTGAATTTTTAATATATGCTATGAAATGTTTTAAAGAGTATTTTAAATTATGCAAATTCATCCTAACGGGTTTAACAGCAGCAAGTGCAGAAAGGAGATTTTCATTTTAAAAAAATCAAAATTCATTGCAAAATTCGAATGAATCATAATAAATTATCTAATCTATCTGTCATTGATTTAAATTGAAAAAAACGATTAAAATTAAATCCAGTAAAAACTCTTATAAGTTAGTACTTGATCATTTTACCCAAAAAGAAAGACGAATTCCGCTTATACATAAATCTTGTTTTGACTAATAAAAAAAATGTTTTTGAATTGCTCCCCTATTAATAAATTTGACGCTTCGTCACTGTGATACTTCATATTTCATGCGAGTAAATATTGATACATAAAATATTATAAATAACTAATTAATGTTATTTTCGCTCATTTTTTAATTACAATTACCTTCAATTGTTTATAAATGACTTTTAATATGAATTATAAAAAGAAATTTTTAAAAAAATTTAAAAATTATTTTTGGGGCTCTGGAAAATTATTTGGAGGGGTCTGGTCCACAACACGGCATTGGTGGTGTTGTTTCTTAGTTGTGCAAAAGAGTAATTTCATTTATATAGGTTATATATTCTACAGTCAAACCACGTAGTTAGTTGATTCGTTTATTGCCAGTATATAAACTAAAAATGATATAAATGTTCATGATAAAATTATAAAATTAGTAAGTTAGGTATTTCTACACATACTGAAATACATTTTTGGTAAAATCAGATGATTAAAAATTTATCAACTTATTTAGAGTGTTTTTCAATTTTAATAATCTAATTTTTCTATAATGTATTCCAACGTGTTTCGAATACGTATCCTATACATTTTTAACAATTTTATAAGATATCACGCGATTTGACTAAGGCAATACGCATATTGACATTGATTCATGATATATAAACATATTTTATGTATATTTGATTTAAATTTCGGTGTTCTGAACAATCTCTTGCAACTTCCTAACAAAGTCTCTGCAAAAAAATTTACTCAAATATATCATTATAAAAAAATATTTGAGTTAGAGAAAATTTAAATTAATTTTAAACGATTGGTCCATCTTCTCCTGGTATTCCATCATTGCCTGGTCTGCCAGGCTGACCTCTATTCCCATCTCTACCCGAGTTTCCTGCTCTTCCTTTAGATCCAGGGCTTCCTGGGGGACCTGTAGGTCCCTGTGAAAATTATATATAATAAATATGATTATTTACATAAATTATAAGAATTTAATTCACATTTATCACACCAACTTATATATAGTATATTTTTAATCATAATTTTGGTTGGTTTGCGATTTTAACTTTATTTTCATTTATATTTTGGTTTACTTCATAATCCCTAATTTAATTTATAGCTATAATTTATTCTCATGTATAATTTAATTAATTCTCCATCAATTGTTTTTTTTCTAATCATAAAACTTGCGACTTATAATAAATATAATTTTTATTGAAGTAATGTTGGATATAGTTAGACTTGTACATATAAAGACTTGTCGGTGGCGGTGTTTCTTAAAAAAAATATCTATAGGAGGTGATACCGAATTTAACTTATCATGAAAATCTACTGTGGCAGCAAATATATTTTTTATTAAAAAAATTTTTTTTAAAAATTATTAATTTATTAAAACAACTTTTTATTTATATTTAGATTTGCAGGGCATAGTGAATATCTTCACGAGTTCAAAGTGAGCCTAGTTATGGAAAATACATTCCTGCTGGGTTTGCCTGTAGTTGAAAAACAGAATTTTCTTAGATAAAATTATAATAGGAAGTTTGGAAGATTTAATGTTTTTATTTTCCAAAAATCTTACACATCTTTTATATCTAAAGCATGAGAGGAAAATAATGTATTAAATTCCTTATAAACTAGTCAATTTGCTCCAAATTTTGGAGATGGATCAATAAATATTTAGAAGCTACTATCGATAGTCTGAATCTGAAGTCACATATGTTATATCACAGTCTGTAATATGTCCATGTAAAGCTTATGGAGGCAGTATATTAGTGTACAAATTGTATGGGGGTAATTTTTTCTCTTTTTAATATTTATTCACTCTATGTTTATCGATTAAACGAGGGTTCAAAAATAATAAAGAATTTTGGCCTGGAACTAGATTTCAAAGACCAAACCAAATCGTAAACCACAAAGTAGAGGCTAAACCGTGGATCAAATATAAAGACCGCAGAAACTTTAACTAGACCAAACTTTATGTTGATAAATATCTAGATAAAACATAAAATTCGGAATAATTATTCACAGCCCTAAGCTCTGCCCGATCACGAGCCGGGCTGTATTTAAATTTTTTAATATACCCGTGCCTGGCCTGGGCAGGGCCGGGTTGAATATTTTAAAACCAAATATTTTAAATCGCCATTATTAACTATAAAAAATAAAAATAGTATTATATATTTTTAAAAAATCCGGATGGCCTGGAAATATAAAACCAGTGCCGGGCAGGGCCGAATTTTTTTAAAAAAAAATCCGGGCCAGACTCTGCAAATGGTACCTTAGAAGCTCTGAAATTTATTAAGCATATTTTGAGGGATATTATTGCAAGACCACTATACTATCTGATTATTAATTTCATTTCGAAATTAATACATTTTTCTTTAGCGGATAAAAAGGTATTATTAAGGTTCTAGCAAAACTTGAAACAAGTTCCAATCAGAGCTAAATGAATATCTATATAATTTTTGCTGGTGCCACTCACACTTTCTATCCTTGAAAAATGTTATGCCATTGTGTGGGCGGTATTATATGGTATTTATCAATATTTAACATATGATATATTTAAACTGTTATCATTATCAAATTCAAAGCTATATTCGGTGATAATAAATCCAATAATGATATATTTAAATATAATAATATAAAAAAATCGGTAGTGACGTGCCCAGCGCTGACATTTTTTGGGGGGTCACATCGGTCTGAGAAATGGTCGGCTGTGGCCGATTAACGCAGGGCCACATATAACGAAAAAATATATAGCGCGTGAAGCGAAATATAAAGTTTCTTTTTAAAAAAAGTTTCATTTATAAAAAAATATATAAATGTGTTAAAAAATAGGAGTTAAGCTCTCAGCTACTGCCTGCTTTGTTTAAAGAATGTCTAACATAAAGTTAGAGTATATATTCCAAAAAAATAAAGATTCTATCCAACAAAAATCTAACAAAGACAATGGGAACTATGTTTACTAAAAAGAATAAAATATAAAGAATTTTTAAGATTTATATTAAAATGTTTTATTCTTTCTTTAGTTTGCAAAAAATTTTATGCTTCTAAAATCTAAAAAAAATGCTAAGCTAACCGAACTCACAATATTGAAAGATATTTAAAACCGTAACAAAAAATATTACAACAATAACAAGTGTCAAAAATGTAAGCTAGACTATAGCATGTCTACATTTTCAGCAGATAATGTAGATATCGTTTTTTAAATTTGCTGGTAGTTAGTTATATCTTTACTTTAGCCTATGTAATCTACATCCGACGTAGCTAAGGGGCCTCTCTCATAAATATTAAATTTTTTGCCCGAAAAAAATCACAAATCTTTTTTTTAATACACCCCCAAGTGTCCCCATGCCATTTTACATAAATTTGTTTCATTTTTATGCTTATGTTTTTGATATTGATATTAATTTTTAAATCAAAAGTAATAATGTGATTCTAATTATATTCTAATTCTATTATTCCATAGAAAACATTTTAAAGACTATTTAGTTGAAGAGATATTTATTATCTAACTATCTCAAAAATATATTAAAATTACATCTTCTCCAGGAAAACCAGCCTCCCCATCTGACCCTGCTGGACCGGGAAGACCATCTTTACCATCATTTCCATGACCTCCGTCTCTTCCAGGTGTACCATCTCGGCCTGGGTTACCAGGAGATCCCTTAATTTATAGAATATTTGTTAAGGAAAAGAGGGAAAGGTAAAGTAAAGTTGGTTACATTTATAATAATTTAGATTTTAATGAAATATGATGGTAATTTAATTTTTATTCGCTAAAATGTCTTAGGCCCCTCATTTTTAAATAAGATATAGGAGTGTGTATTATTAATATATAAAAATATGTAAAATAACAAAATAATCGCCAAAATTAAATTAAAGGAAGATTATATTAATCTTAAAAAGGCTAAAAAAGAAAAAGAAAATTAGTTAAAAAAACCTTTCTCCCTTGTTTTCCTGGGAATCCATCTCTACCTGGATTTCCATCTGGGGAAGGCTGACCTGGAGAGCCATCTTCACCAGGTATTCCACCTTGTCCTTCGGAACCGGGTTCTCCGGGCAATCCCTATTATTTATCATCAATTATTTTTTTTATAAAATATTTAATTTTACTCTTATTAGTTAGTACTTCTGCTCATTTTAAAACAAAGATAGTGTCTTACACAAAATTTAAATTATTCTCCTTCGTTATATAGTCAAAAAAAAATTAAATATTAATAATTTAAGGAAAAGGACCTCATATTGAATAATTAACACGTTAAAAAGGATATTAATTAGATTATAATGATGAATACTACTCTAAATTTATTATAAATATAGGTAAATTACATGAATATAAACAAATGCATAATATTAACAATAAAGGTTTAATCTAAACCTGAGCCCCAGGTCTACCTGGTGGACCATCTCGCCCCGGGGTTCCATCAGCTCCTGGGAAACCATCTTTACCGGGTGAACCTCCATCTCCAACTGGACCGGGCTCTCCTGGTTCGCCTCTAAGCCCTGAGTTTCCATCATTACACTCTCTACATCCTAATGTCCGATATTATTTTATGATGAAAGGGAGATTATAAAAATATTTTAAGTTCTTGATGTAAAAAGAAACGTATAGGAAATATATGATTATATTTTATAAGGATGGTTAGAATTCTTTTGTTTGATTTCATACTTGAATTTCATATAAAAATTAAAATACTCATTATAAAGTTTTCAAATGATTTATACAAATTCAAGCAAGGATTGAAATATGTTTATGATGAAAATATATTAAATTTATTATTATAATAACAATTCTTTTTGTATAAATTATTTTTATATGTGTTCAAAGTATAATTTTATTTATGAGGAAATGAAGAATATTTAGTTTACTATAAAAACTTCTAGAATTTATTTTCATAACTAGATAGTCATATTAAATATGTTTTATCAATTAAGACTCTCCTTACCTAATCAGACATTTATTGGAAATAAATTTCCTATAAAAATGTTCTCTGCATTCCTATAATACTTGCATATATTTTTAAATGTCCACTGAAATAAGGTACAAGAGATAAGGAATATATAAATTAGAAATTTTTTTAATTATTTACCCTCACTTTAAATAAGCTTAAATGTAATTCGAAGTCAAACATAATACTTATATATAACAATAATATAGGACAGGGTTTACCCTTCAGCAGAGATAATATAGGATAGGGTTATCCTTCAAATTCAAACAGTAGCCGATAATATTTTTAAAAAGTATCTACTATGTAAAAAAAGAGATGAAGTTTCAAATAAATTACAAAAGAAAAGGTTATAAATGACAATTATCCCTTGATAATTATTCCCCCAAAAAAGAACCATAAATCTAAAAATTTTAATCTAATATATAACTTCTCTTCACTTCATTAGTAAAATTTTTAATAACGTGTTTAAAATTTGAATATACTAATGTATAAATAGCCTATTCAAAAGCCTGACAAATTTATGAAATAAATTTTTTAAAAATTGTAAATTAAAACTAGTATTAGCTTGATGTTTATTTTTAGTTCTTGAATCATTCTATATGGTGCCGCTAGTTCTTATTATCATACCTGTTAAAAAGTAAATTTTGATTTAAAACCTTGTTTGATTTTTTTTTACTCAAATATAAAATATTTCCTCTCTAGCGATAATGATACGCCTGAGTTATTTGTGCCTGCCCAAATAACCTAGAGATTCTATTTTTTAAATTTACATAATATTTAATTATTTTTTGGAATAAATTAGTTTATATATAATTACTTATATATTTTATGTGTTTAACTCTTAATTAAATTGATCTCCAACCTTACTTTTATTATCTTGCATCGTTAAAATTATCAGAGTTTTTTTAAAAGAAAACCTTCAATCTACAAATGCTATGCATATTATTAAATATTATAATAAGTATATATTATCTAATCCCATAATAATATTTAAAATTGGGTCAAAGTGAAAATAAAAAAATAAAAATTTTTTAAAAAAAATTTTTAAAAAAAAGGGTGCATTTTTAGTATTAAAAATCATATAATTTTTTAAGGTTACCTTTTTTTGGTGGATGGATTTTTGATTAAATAATTTTTTAAAAAAATTTCTTTTAATTAAAAAGGAACCAAAAATTTATAACGGGAAATTTAAAAAGGCAAAATGAATATTTTGAATATATTTTCGAAAATAATAATATTAGATGCTGGGGAAGGTTATATTTATAATTCAATTGAGTTTTTATAAAATTCCTAGAATTAGAGGGATTTCTTAAATATTCCCAATAAACAATAGTATAAAGTGCCGAAGAAACAAACAAAGATGAGTTGCCATTTTAAAAATTTATATCCTATCTTATCATTTTGAAATTTTGTCAAAGGATATATACAAAATATTTATAATTTGAAAGAAGATTAAAAAATAATTAATAATTCTTCAGCCTAAATATAATTAGAGGGGTAGGAAGAGTGTTGTTAAACGTCTCGAATTAAGCCGAATTTTAAAAGGCTAACTAATTATTTTATCCGGAAAAATATCACGCCAAAGATTTTGCTCATAGATGGTACAAAGATTTGAACATCTATTAGCGAAATCTCGACGTTTAGGCAATATTTTTCTGGCTAAAATATTGAGTCAGTCATTTTTAAAAATCGGCTCAAATCGAGCTGTTTAACTAGCATATTTAAAAAAATATATCTAATAAAGTGTTTAATTATATTCTAGTGCAATATAATTTTCTCACTTTAATTTATTTAATAGCGATACCAGAATATAAAATAAAAGTATATACAGAAAACCAATAGTTGAAGTGGTTAGTTTTGTTTATAGCGGAAAAAGAAAAAACACATATTCTAGGTTTATAAGGTTCTGAAAACATTTTGATTACTGTATAGTTTGTTCTCTCTTTTTCTTACTATTCAGGAATACTATTTTAAAAATAATGAACTATAATTCAATTTCTGATATATTCTTTCTCTAAGTTTATTTAGCATCTAAGCTATCTATAAAATTAAATTAAAACATAAAAACCTTAAAAATAATAATTTTATTTTGGATAGGCAAATTTTTGATATAGTATTCTGCAATGATGTCCATCTTTGGAAAAAAATATATTAAAATCGTTTAAATAATTTGTTTTGAGCTGTAAATTGGCAGGAAATTGGATTTACAAAGGTAATAAAAAATTGCTTTGAATTTTCTTTGCAAAAGAGGGGGGGGGGATAGGGGTTAAGAGATTAATGAAAACAATTATTTCATACTAAATAGCAATCAACTTTTAACCTAAATGGAGGTAAACAAAAACAAACGATGACATAAATATAACATTTAAGTAACTTATTGAAAAATTTTTTTTTATTTGATTCCTGTTTTGTCATTATATGATTATTTTATTTATGTACATTTTCCCCAAAAATGTAAATTCGATACTATGTTCATTTTAATGACAAATTATAACGATTTTATTATAAATATTTATATTTTAAACTATTTTACATAATAAAATGTTTTAATTCAAGGGGAAATTCAAAATATGAATGCTAAATGATCTGTTTTTATATGATTTTATATAGTTAATCTGAATAATTTTAATAAAGTAAAAATTTAATATGGTTTGTGCAAATTACTTCTTGAATAATCCCCACCAACGTAACTCCTTTTATTTCTTATTTCGATTTTTCCTAACCTGATATTTTGCGATTTCGAATCCGAAGATTGGGATTTCAGCTATAAAAATTTTTTATATAAAATATAAATCAATGTTGAAATTAAATTTTCTAAAAATATCTTATATTACTTCATCTAATTTATTTGTGGTTGATTATAAGGAAGGGGGAAAAAATAACTAATAAAAAGAAAGAAAACTCAAGTTCTTTATAATATATATAGAATTCTCACTAGTAATTGATTCAGTGAAAATCAAAAATCTTGAGTCTTCCATCTTTGAAATTAAGAAGAAGTTTATTTTGTTAATTTTTCAAGAATTTCACATTGAAAATTATTGTAACTTTATTAAAAAGATTGATGGTTATTTTATTATTTATTTAAAATTAAATTTAGGAAGATTAATCCTACTTTGTTATAATTTATATCACCTTTATCTAAAAATTATATAAATTAGATTAACATATTTTAGTTTGTAAGATGAAAAAAAAATATGAATATACTGGTAAATTTTATTCCGTTTTAATTTTTTTAGCGAGTTGACACTGATAAAATTAATGTTGTTAAACGGCTTGTGAGGAGATTTTTAAAAACGGCTAACGAAATATTTTAGCCAGAAATATAACACTCAAGCCTTAAGATCTTGCTCATAGATGGCACAAAGGTGTGGACATCTAATAGCAAAATCTTGTGACTCAAGCAATATTTTTCTGGTTAAATATTGAGTTAGCCGTTTTTAAAAATTGGCTCAAATCAAGCCGTTTTAAGGCTTATAAATTCTAAAACATTTTTAAAAAATTACAGGATAAAAAGTTACAGGCATTCAAGGTTTAAAAAAATCTTTAAATGAGCATTTGAAGATTTTTTTCGCTTAAAATTTTGGGCTCAAAGTAATTTTTTTATCAAGATAAAAAATGTTTTTTGTAATAAAATCTTCTTGGAGCAATATATTTTAAAAAATCATCAAAGGGAAAATCAAAGAAGATTTATTTACAAAAAACATTTAATATTTTGCTCAAAAATTTTTTTTACAAAAAAACCTTCACGTTTTTTGATCTTCCAAAAGAGCAAGAATCTTTGAAGATTTTGAATTTTGAGCAAGTGTTAAACCCTGTAGATAATAGACAATACAACCCTTTTGGAAATAGTTTAAACTCAATTTTAATTACTCCATGAGGGTAAAAAGTAAATAAATTTAAACAAATTGGTCTTAAACTGTATAAAGTAGGATAATATAATAATATTACAAATATTTTATTATTATTTTTAAGTTGATATTGGAATTTTCCTTACACAATGAAAAAAATTTAAATGACTTGGTTTCGAAAGAGATAAAAAATTTAGGATGTAGATGATTTAAAATCTTTAGGTGTAGTGTCGAATAAATAGTCAAGAAATTTATTACTCCATGAGGGAAAAATCCAAATTCTTATAAAACCTGGGTTTCGATATTATTCATTTCACCAAAGGTTTTGTAATACTTCTTATCTACTACCCAAAACTATTTATACTGTCCAACCAAGTTGTTTAAAAATGTTTATTTTTCCTTGTAAAGTAAAAAAAAAATCTACTTTCAAAAGATTTAGTACTCTTTTTATGCCCAAACTTTTTATCAAGCCCAGAGACAAGTTATTTTTTAAAAATTGCCTTTTACCCTTATGGAGTGATAGGGACTTTTGGGTTTAAACTATTCCCATTAGGTTGGTAATAATGTTAAATAAGCTTAACTTTTTATTCATCCAAAATTAAATTTTTAAATATGTTTTACATTTTAAAAGCGATATTGACGCCAACTGCGTTAAAAATTATATGAAAAAATAAAATATAAAAAGTATTAATCAAATTTATTTTATTCAAAAGATGTTGATCTAATTTATACGAATGATTTTTAGATATTAATTATTACAAAATATTATTAATCTTTGTGAATTTATCTTTAAAATAATGGTTTATGAACCATTTTTTTAATAAAATATTATTTTAACAGAGTTACAAGAATTTTCAATTAAAATAGTGGGAAATTAATGTTTATTCTTGCAAAGATGAAAGGCTTTTTTGTCTCATTTTTTTTACATTAAGCGGTTTATTTATATAATTAGTCCATGACCTTATTAGGCAAAATGTAGTATTGGTAGAAGTTACTTTTGAAAAACGAGTTACTATTGTGTAAATAGTAACATAAAATCGTTACATTTCGAAAGAAACTAGTTACATTGAAATTTATTTAATAATTTTTTATATATAACTTATCATTTTTAGTATAATCTTTTTATTATAAAAAAAATTGTGCGATTTACAAATTTTAATTAAAAATTAAATGAAGAAATAATTTATATATAAATATTAGATTTTTTTAAAGGTAACTAGTTACAGTTAGGTTTTATTTTCAAAAATATTTATAACTTTTCACTAGTTATTTGAACACACTAATAAAATGGCATAATAGTGCTTCTTCCAATAAAAAAAAAATCCTTAAATAATATTTTTTGATATAGATATTTTTCCTTCTTTAGAATCGTATTGAATGATATTCATGTTAAATTAACCTTAGTATATTTTGACAATCCTTCAATTTGATCGAAGAGTCTGTGAAAGGAAGAACTGTTAGTTATTTTAGATGGCATTATTTTTTCTTTTATATTTTTGACAGCGTCGGTCAATAGCTTTTCTTGAATTTCGTATTTTTCTCCGACTATTTGGGAAATGCCACTAATTTTCTTGTATTGCAAGTAAAATGTGGGTAATAGAATAACGCATGCTATTATGAACATCACCAATAAAATAGAGCTGATGCAGATCCACAGATACTTTATAGGATTTGATTTATCACTGGATGTGGAATTTTTGGTTGCCTTAATTGTATCCATTCTTATTTATTTAAAAAAGGTATGTATAAAATGTTTAGTTATTCATAGAGTTATAATAAAACATTTATATTTAAAGAATGGATAAAGCTGATGCAAATCTTTGTCCATAAATAAGATAAACATGGGAATTCATATATTTTGAAATTATTGGCAAAAGAAAACTAGAATTCTTTTAGAAATATGCCAAATTTAAACATTTATACAATCGTATGTAATGTCACACTTTAAAAAGAAATATTAACCATTAAAATTAAAAATTTAGATAAAATTTTTGGCTCAAATCATTAAATTTTAAATAAAATTTTAATACTGATATATTATACAATCGAGAAGCTATTTATGCGATGAAAAATAAATATATAAACGAATTTTAAAATAATTTATTTCAATATGTATTTTACATATAGCTTAAATAAAGTATCATTTAAAAAATATTTGAATTCTTTACTTTATATTGTGTTTAAGATTTTCTGTAATTTTTATAATATCGTTATATATATTTATATTAAAAAAAATGTTATAAATTAACAAAATAATTTATGGCGTAGATTTGGTTCGATATCGATATTTATATATACTTTATCTCATTTTAAAAAAAAAATTATTAAATGACTTTTATGAATTAATTTTAAAATATATTAAGGTATATATCTATATGGTTTTGACCCAAATTATTGTATATTATAAAAAAAATTTTTAATGATTGATGTGATTTTCGAAATTATGCCTAACCCATAAAAGGTTATCGTAATCCCAATGATTCCTCAAACTCAACACTCCTATTAATATTTTATTTAAAATAATTTTTTTTTCGTATTTTTATTTTATTGAAGTGTATGCTAATTTTTTATAAAAAAAAATAAAGGATTAAATTTTTGAAAGAAATAATTTTTTTTTGAAAGAATAAGGTTATTGAAAGTTAATAGAGTTTGTTTTTTCTTATCCGGGAAGTGTAGACCTCGCTTAAAACTTAAATCAATTGAGCCGAATATTTTAATTATTAGAGAACGAATACTCAATTACCCGTATCAGATAAATAATAGTTTTTTTTTAATTAGACACCAAATTTAAAAAATATCTAATCAAAATCTTGAGACAGAAATTTTTTTAGTTCGAGATAAAAAATATTCGTTTTTTCAAAAAAATATATTGCGTATTTTCTTTATATTTTAACCATAAATGAATGTGTTTTTGTTTTGTAAAAAAACAACTAAATTATTGTTATCCTTTGTAAAACTAATTAGCAAATGATATATCTATTAGATTGAAAAAGCCACCCGTTGAATGGAAAAGCGGGACACTTCTATAAATCGAGAACTTATAAGGCTTTCAATTTGCACAAAACCCTTTTTTTAGCACGGTTAAATAGAAGGAAAATGATTCTTTACAATTCCTAAGTGTAGAGAACGATGCCAATGAACCATTAAGTTAAAAGGGACGGAATTAACCTAAAAAATCAAGAGCATATTGATTTAAATGGGCACCAATTAACTTAAGTAACAGTTTATAGTATATAACATATAACAATAATTTGTTCACATATGTAGAGTCTAATTACTCATTGATTGCATTGGAAATATGCTATTTATTTTTAACAATCATAAATTAAATATTATCTTTTTTAAAGGGAACCTATTAAATATCAAAATTTTATGAAAATAGTTAACAGTAAAAATAAATAAATAAAGCAATGGAGTTGGAGTTAGAGATCTAATGAAAAATAATCCGGATGCAAAGACAAATGCTGATTCTCACGAAATATCGAGGAAATCAAATTTTGCAAATTTTTTTGTAGAACTACAAACCAAAAGGTAAGTTAACTGACGAATAAAAATATTAGAATGAAAACTTAATAATTCTTATTTTAAATGTATTTTACCTACTGTAATGTAAATATGATAATGATGACTCCAATACTTCAATAGAACATTTAAAATCAATTGGAACTTGTTCTATTCCTTTCTGAGTGGCAGTTTTGTTTAAAAGACTTTACAATTTTGTAATATTGATTTATTCCATAATAACGAATATAATACACCGATAAAGATATTTTGTAGTCATAATATAAATCTAAGTTTAATTGTTTCATTACAACTGTGAAAGTTTGTGGGTAAAATTATTTTATCTATTTTATGCTTCTTTTTTGGAATTATTGAATTTGCTGAAATATAAAAATATTTAAAACATAAGTAAAGCTCTATGTTGCGACAGGGGGAAACGGAGCGTAGATTATTCCCTATTCTTGTGCGCGTTTATGGGTTTCTTAATTTTGCTCGGAGTAACCGTATTAGTTTTAATCAAACAACGACAAAGGATACATTTAAATCAAAGAAATGCAAAGTAAAACACATTATATTATAAACATTATGAAGAAAATAAGTAAGGGGTGGGGGAAATTTAATCCCCCTGAAAATTTTTTTTGCAAAATAACATTTTATTAAAATTAGTTTTTATATTTAAAGCTTTTGTTGATTTGGCAATTGACGCATAAATAACATTGTTCATATTTCATCATGTTTGTTATATTTTTTTCAGCTTAATTGAAACAATATATTCTATATATCTTTACATAATATATTTTGGTAAGCAGGTATTTTTTACATTTTTTTTCAAACTATAATTTCAAATATAGTAGCGAATGAAGATTAATATAGTATTTTTGATTGGGAAGTAAAAAGATGTCAAAGTTATTATAGAATACTTTTTGAATTTATCTAGATTTAGATACCATTTTCACGATATATTTCGATATAATAACTTTTTATTAGATGATTGTTAAATTTCAAATTTTGGTGTAAACAGTCTGTTTCTCAACTATACTTTTAAAAATAATTCATCCAGCTATAACAAAACCAATTATTATATCGTCTACACATGTATGAGTAATGTTTTCAAAGATTTTTGGGGAAATAATTCATGAGTTTTGTTAATGACAAATAGAATAGTTTTAAATTTATTTAATTTAGATCGGATCTTCTAGTTGTAGATTTTTATTTAAATAAACTAGTCTCTAAGAATTAATTATAAATAAATTTAAAATATGTTACATTGTATTGTAATGTAATAAGATAAGGATAATATTATTTACATTTAAATGCCTTTACATGGAATTTGTATATTGACTAAAAGAATTCAATAGATGAACATTGCGTTTTTCTGATTAGTTTTTTTTTCTTCATCTATAGTTTTAGTTAGAGACTCAAAATTGATTATTTTTTTTTGGATGAGGTAGCCCTGCAAGTCGGTCTGAAGAATAAAAATAATTTTAAAATGAAAACAGTAAATAATGTTTTATTAAAATAAATGATAATTATAATTTCTTTGGTTAGACAAGGTAATTAATGATTTTTATTATATTAGACTTTATAAAAATGCATTTAATGATGATAACTTAATTTTTTTAAATTAATTTTCGGGCTTAGCATGGGTCTAAAATAAAAATTTAGCCCGGGATGAGGCTTAAAAATTACTAAAGATTTAGGGCCAAGTCGGGATCATATATTAAATATACATGGCATGCCTCATATTAAGAATTTTGTTATCGCATCTGGATCAATCAAGTCAAATAAAATAAAGAATATTTTAAAAAATTTGTCTAAAATTTATTAGCTGTTTATGTAAATAAGTATAAATAATGCAGTAAACATTAAAAATATTAATCGCGTTCGCGTTGAACGTTCATCTACAAAAATCGGTGTTCACGTTGGTTCAAAACTTTATGAATAAATTTTCAAAATTTCATTTAATAATTAATTTAATATAAATAAATACCAAATATATTTTTAACAAATATATTAGCCATGTTTAAAATTAATAGTTGTGAATAAAAAAGTATTTTTATTTATATAAAAAAAATTCTTATTAATTTAAACTTTTATATATCATATAAAATTTAGTTATTTATAAAATATGTAAATTAATAATACTTTCAATTGTGTTCAACTATTAAAATATAAAACCTTGATAAAAATTCAAATAATCACACTAAAAATAAATAAATTCTTTAACTATTTTATAACTAATATATAATATATATTATTTTATTACAATCAAGTAGAAGTCTGCAAAGTAATTTTTTCGCAACACGAGCCCAACCTGAGCCCGAATTTAATAAACAGCACGACCCGAGCCCGACCACACATTTTTTAGTCCAACCCCACCCGAGCCCGAATAAAATTTTACAATTTGAGTTTGAATATTATAATAAACAAAAAAAAATTTATGTGTATTTATTCATCGCCACCTTAAATAAAAGTTTATATGACGGCTATAATCTAATCAAGATATATATTAAGTTGCATTTTATTTAATTGGTAAAAAATATTATAAAAAAGTTAAAATACAATCAAATTTAAAAATTATTGCAATTATATAAAAACAATAAGCATGATTTATGTCGAATTTAGATAATATAATAGTTAACAGGGGCGTCGCTAGCCTATACAATCTCAGGGGGCTCTACTAAAAAAATTTTTAGGAGGGCAAGCCTCCACCTAATTTGAATACTTTTTTAAAATTTGCTAACTCTGAACAATTATTCTGAATTTCATATTTTATCTTTTATTATATTATGCGTACAAAATAAACTAGCATATAAATAATTAAAAAAATACAAGACATTTCTAAAATTAATATTTTTTAATACAAAATCTATTTATTATAGTATAAAATATTTTCGATTGCTTATATAAAAAAATTTTGCGTCTAAAGAATTACAAGTGATAAAAAAGATTAATTTAATGGTTTTTAAAAACCACATAAGGCAATATAATTAATTCTTAGAAACTTACATTGATAAAAGGTCATGAAACTAGTATAACTCTCTGTTACCATTTTAGACAATGTTTTATAGAATGGAATAATAAGGAAAATTTTATAGGCCTAACCAAATCAACAATTCTTGAAGAAGAGAATATAAACGACCAATCCAAATCTAAAACTATATGGTGGTTAACATTATGGAAGCTAGAAAAGTAATCAAGAAAATTATTGTGAGATATTAAATTTCTAATGATTAGCTTCCATTTTTAATGATATATAAACGACTGCACAGTTGACTATTATTGCTTATATAAGCAGCTGTAGTAATAATCTTAAATTACATAGCCACACAAATAATAAAAGCTGGTTAGTCATAGCCATGACGCTCACGATGTTAACTCATATCAGAATTTATTATGAATAAATTGATAAAACAAAAGCACTAAAAATCTTTAGAAGAAATTATACAATATTGAAACCATATTATACTTTTTTAAATTTGCTAACTCTGAACAATTATTCTGAATTTCATATTTTGTCATTTATTATATTATACATACAAGATAAACATATAAATAATTAAAACAATACAAGACATTTCTAAAAATAATATTTTTTAATAAAAAATCTATTTATTACTGTATAAAATATTTTCGATTGTTGATATAAAAGAATTTTGATTCTAAAAAATTAAAATTGATAAAAAAGGTTAATTAATTCATACATATGCCTCAATTGATAATTAGGTTTTTAAAAACCATGTAATATAATATAATTCTTAGCAACTTACATTAACAAAAGGTCATGAAACCTCTGTTACCATTTTCGAAAATGTTTTATAGAATGGACTAATAAGGAAAATTTTATAGGCCTAACCAAATCAACAATTCTTGAAGAAGAGATTATAAACGACCAATTTTTTTTTTATGTTGATACTTTTTATTTATTTTAAAATATTAAAACAAGTATAAAAATATGTAAAATTACTAAATAAAAATAAATATATAAAATATAAATATCGAAGGCTCTAAAAAGAGTTTAATTTTATAATGAATATGTACCTAAAAAACAAGTATAATTGTATCATAAAAATAAATAGTGGTTAGAGCTTCCTCTTAAATGATATGATGGAAGCTAGATAAGTAATCGAGAAAATTATTTTGAGATATTAAATTTCTAAAAGATTATCTTCCATTTTTAATGATATATAAACGACTACAAAGTTGACCATTATTTTTTATATAGAATATGCTCTCAGCAGCTATAGTAATAATCTTAACATACATTTCCACACAAATAATAGATGCTAGTTAATTTGCAGTCATAGCCATGACACTCATGATGTTAACTCATATCAGAATTTATTATGTTAGATAAATTGATAAAACAAAAACACTAAAAATCTTTAGAAGAAATTATGTAAATATATTGAAGCCTTACGTTATTTACACGATAAGGATGCCATATTAAAAATGAAACATTTTAACCAGAGTGATATAATAAAAGCAATTAAGATTTATATATTATTGTCGCACAACCTCGAGTTGGTATATTATATCTTAAAATAATAGTAGTATGTAATAATCTCAAAAATATACTTGTATTATAAATTTAAGGGAAAACTGTTTTTCAAAGAAGAAAAAAATAGCTTTCCTAAAAACATGTAAAAAATGAGAAGAAAAGATATCTAATTTATTACACCCATTGTGAGATGAATAATAAGAGTTTAATTTTTAATAATATTTTTATATAAATAGATGGCGTTATAGAATTGAATGCAAATTGTTATGTACTTATTATTATCAAAAGCATTTATTTAAAAATTTATTAAAATATTAACTGCAATATATTATATAACTGTCAAATATGTCTGTAAAAGTGGCATTTTACCTAATACCAATTATATATAATAGAGGATTATAAACTATATGTCTACTTACTTTTTATAAATAAATCTCTTATATTTATTTGGACCTTGAAAATATTTTTAGGAAGAGGCATGGTATTTAAATTTAAAAATGAATAATATAGTTGATTAGTGATTTTTAACTCGGCTAATTACAATATTAAATATGTTAATTTTCAATTAATAAATGATTATATTTATTTAATTAGAGTTATATAATAATTTAAATAATAAAAGATACTTAAGCTTCAACTGTAAATGCCAAATTAATATTTAGTGAGTGATATTGATATTCTATTTTAAGACAAACTTTGACTGCAAACTGACATAGTAAAAATATAATTTACATGTATTAATCTAATCTAATAATTAAAATAGCATTTAATAAAAATTTAGATAGTCTTATTAATTTAAAAAAAATAAAATTAAATCTATATATTATTTAATAGATATATAAAAGAAATCGTTCAGGGGGCAAACAAAAAAATTTATTTTTAGTTCAAGGGAATATTAAGGAGCCATTAAAAAAAAAATTTTGTTTCAGGTGGCTATTCAAATTTTTTAAGGTGCTCGAGCCCCTGCGCTCCCCTTCCCTAATGACGACACTGATAGTTAATATAGATACTAAAAAATATAATAATTAACATATTATAATGATAAATCAATATCCTTA